CGCTCTTTGCAGGTGTAAGTCAGCCCCCCCCCCCTCTGACTGGAAACAAGGGAAGATGCAACACAGAAAGGGGGGGGGGACACAGACAAAAGAGAATGCTTAATTTCCAGGACAGCTTTGTTCTGCTGACTCATTCAGTGAGCTGCAGTCTTCTATTAATCTATTCATCAGATGATAAAAGCAATAGAACAGCTCAAACAGGTTCCAGAATTAGTAGAACAGGTGAGCAAACCCCGCGGCCCAAGTGATTTATGAAGCAGTTTTCTTCTTTGAAAAACAGCCGTGTTTAAGCTACACTGGTAATTAAATATATTCTGTTTTCTGTCGCTGGCACTCACTTGTAAGTAGATGTACGTTTAGCTCAACTTGGATGTTGTGTTGATTCAAAGACACCTTTAATGTACGAATACAAGAAAACCAGCAGACACAATTGTTATTGGTTTTTCTATGTACATCAAAACAAACAAGACCCAAAGTCCAAATGTAAAGTCATGATGATGTCCAGATTTTAAGTTCAGCAGTGTCTCAGAGCTACTTTATGGGGTTTGGGAGACTGCCAGTGCTAAAGATCATGACTATGGGTTGGATCCAACCGGCTTTTTCACTGGTGATGAAGGGGTCCATTGTGACCACCCCAAAGTCTATGCTGGGGATCATGAGACCTGCATGGACAAAACCCACATGGGATGAAACGGTAGCGAAGAAGAAGAGGAGGAGAAGAAGAAGAGAAGAAGAGATTAGATTTATACCCCGCCCTTCACTACCCGAAGGTGTCTCAGAGCGGCTTACAAACTCCTTTCCCTCCCCGTAGCTTACAAACTCCTTTCCCTTCCCCTCCTCACTAGGACTGAGAGAGCTCTTTCCAGAACTGTCCTTGAGAGAACAGCTCTGACAGAACTATGGCTTGCCCAAGGTCATCCAGCAGGTGCAAGTGGAGAAGTGGGGAATCAAACCCGGTTCTCCCAGATTAGAGTCCATGCACTTAACCACTACCCCAAACTGGAGGAGGAAGAGGAGGAGATTGAGTGAACGGCGGGGGATAAATCCAATCTCCTTTCCTTTCCCCTCCCCATACCCTGTGAGCTAGGTGGGACTGAGAGAGCTCTGAGAAAACTGTTCTTGAAAGAACAGCTCTGAAAAACTTGTGACTGACCCCAGGTCACACCAGCAGCTGCATGTGGAGGAGTGGGGAATCAAAACCGGTTCTCCCAGATTAGATTCTGCGCTCTTAACCACTACACCAAACTGGCTCTCTAGAAAGGAAATTTGGAGCCAGACAGAGTAGAAGAAAAAGATGAGGAGATTGGATTTATACCCTGTCCTTCACTACCCAGAGAAGTCTCTGAGCGGCTTACAAACTGCTTTCCCTTCCCCTCCCCACAACAGACACCCTGTGAGGTAGGTGGAGCTGAGAGAGCTCTGATAGAAACTGCTCTTTTTCAAGAACAGCTGTGCCGGAACTATGGCTTGCCCAAGGTCATCTAGCAGGTGCAAGTGGAGGAGCGGGGAATCAAACCCGATTCTCCCAGATTAGAGTCTGCAAACTTAACCACTACACAAACTGGCTGTGAAAAAATCTGTGAAAAAAAACTGGCTGGATCTAACCCCGTGAGCTGATTCCTCTGAAGCCGTTGCTATGAAAGGTCTTCAGCAGGCAAGAAGCTGCAGAAAAGACTAAGGATGCACACATGGGAGCTAAGCAAGACAGAGAGTTAAATCTTAAGAACGTGGCAGAGCACAGCACTTGTAAGGTGCTGGAGGCGTCGTAAACCCAACCAGTGGTGTAAAGTCCAGGTCTTCTTTAGATGTTCCAGGGGCACGCTGGAAAGTGAATTTCTGGAGGAGACTTGTAAAGAACAAGAAGAGCTCCATTTTGGCCAGGGTTTCCCCTGCACACATTCTCCGACCTGTAACAATGGAGACGGAAGTCCAGTTTAATCAATTTCTTTATAAAATTTTCCAACTAACCATGAAATACCACCCAAAAGAGCTTGCCACGAAAAAAAATGAAAACAGACAGTGCCCTCCTAGGCAGGTCCACTCAGAACCCTACTCAATCTTTTATTCAGCGGTATGTACTCCCAAGACAGAGTTCTTAGGAATGCCAAATTAGGCACACTCAGAGGTCATTTCGGGGGGGAACGCAGGGGATCGCAGTTCCCCCAGGTGAGGGGCGGGGCACACGATGAAGCCCCGCCCCCTGCTTCCGGCCGCCCCACTTCCAGCCCTCATTCAGCCAGGAGGAGGCAGGAGAAGAGGGAGGGTAAGTTGCTTCCTCCCCGCCTCTCCCCACCCCTGCCTGCCTGGGGCCAGGGAGGGCCTTGGTGGGGCTTCCTGGCTCCTGATGTCAGGGGGTGTGGCATATGCTAATGAGTTATGCTAATGAGTTCCCCTAGCTCTTTTTCTATGAAATGACCCCTGCGCACACTATAATAATTATTGTCGTGGCTTCTTTTTTTAAAAAAAGGTGCTGGAACTTTCAAGAAGGAAATGAAGTTTTCAATCTGTATACTGAAAACTCATGAACTTTTAAACATTTTTAAAAGAATTTTGTCAAAGGGGTTCCGGGACTCTATTCTGGTGCATTCCCCTGGAAAAAAAAAGTCCTGATAATAATTATTGTTATTGCGAGAGAACATGTGTGTTAAAGACTGACAAACTCCCAGTGAAAGTCAGCACATAATGCCAAAAAGGGCATAGAGATAATTGTTGCAGTGCTGAATGACAAGCGCAAGCATTTTGGTTTTGCAAAATGAGAAATGGCCCGCTGTGGTGGCATTCTTCCAAGTAAATGTACTTAGGACTTGGGCACCCCAGCCAATAATTAAGCCACAGTGGCTCAGTGGTTAAGATGCTTAGCTGCAGACCAGAAGGTCAGTAGCTCAGCAGTTCGAGACCATGAGTGCCATGTGACGGAGTGAGCTCCCATCTCTGTTCCCAGCTCCTGCCAACCTAGCAGTTCGCACGCCAGAAACTGCAAGTAGATAAATAGGTACCGCTTCGGTGGGAAGGTAACAGCTTTCCATGCACCTCGGCATTTAGTCATGCCAGCCACATGACCACGGAAACGTCTTCGGACAGCACTGGCTCTTCGGCTTGGAAACGGAGATAAGCACCGCAACCCTAGAGTCGGATTCGACTGGCTTTCGAGCAAGGGAAACCGTGACCTTTTTTATGTCTAGAAGTAGATACCTGCAGAGAAAGGCATGAATGCATCTCTCTTCACAAACTTTCCGTCAGAGTCCAGAAAGTGCTCAGGATAGAACTGATGCGGTTTCTCCCACTGAGTTTCATCTTGCAGCACAGAGCACAGTAATGGGAGGACATAAGTTTCCTGCAAAGTCAAAGCGATGAGTTATTGGGGGGGGGGGTGAAGATAGCTTCAGAAGGTAGCCTTGCTGGTCTGCAGTAGAAAAGCTAGATTCAAGTCCGGTAGCAACCCAGTGGCCAACGAGATTGTCTTGGTATAAGCTTTCAAGAGTCAAAGCTCCCTTAATTAAATCGGACAAAGTTAACTTTGACTCTCAAAAGCTTACACCCTGAAAATCATATTGGTCTCTAAGGAGCTACTGGACTGGAATGAAGAAAATTAATAAGCCAGCCACACTTATAACCAGGGGTCATTTCGGGGAGGATCGCAGTTCCCCCGGGTGAGGTACAGGGGGGGCACATGATGAAGCCCCGCCCCCCACTTCCGGCCGCCCTGCTTCCGGCCCTCATTCAGCCAGGAGGAGGCAGGAGAAGAGGGTGGGTAAGTTGCTTCCTCCCCGCCTCTCCCCACCCCTGCTTGCCTGGGGCCAGGGAGGGCCTTGGTGGGGCTTCCTGGCTCCTGATGTCAGGGGGTGTGGCATATGCTAATGAGTTATGCTAATGAGTTCCCCTAGCTCTTTTTCTATGAAATGACCCCTGCGCACACTATAATAATTATTGTCGTGGCTTCTTTTTTTAAAAAAAGGTGCTGGAACTTTCAAGAAGGAAATGAAGTTTTCAATCTGTATACTGAAAACTCATGAACTTTTAAACATGGTATTGACCTGTGTGTGAACTCAAGAGCCAGAAAAGCGAGGGAAGGATTTGACTTGCATAAAGGACACTGAAAAGTTTAAAATATTTTGGCATGGGCCAACCACAGCTAGTGTTTATGTTCACAGAAGGTCAACCAGAAAGCCAAGGAAGTGGCCTGGCTCTTCCACTGAAATCAATGGGATTTAGCATGGCTTAACTTAATTCCGCAAAATGTTTGTGTCATGACCCCCTGTGGGTTGCCACCTTCTGCCGCCACCACCCTGGATTTAAGTCCCTTGAGAAGGCCCAGGGTACCTTCCCAAGCCCCTTCAAATTGCCCCTTTGTAGCCAAGACATGTAAGCGTGATGACCAGGCAGAGAAACCATTGAACAAAAAGGGTTTATTATTACAGTTCTGGGCAGGGGGGAAACAAGACAAGACAAGGGACTTTAAAATACATAACAGTGTTGAAAGGCCAAAAGAAACACAAAGCTAACACAGCTACCTAATACTCCTTAACTGTTACTACTCAAGCCCTACAGCTCTCTTAAGCCAGGCTTCTGCCTGTACTCACTGTCCCCAGTGAGGGATCTTTCTCTTAGACCAGTCTCCTCAGCATAGCTCTGTGAGAGGCAAACCACAGGGAGGAAAAGAACCCAGTTTAACTGACCACCAAGAATATAAACAATCTCCTCAGAGAATTCCTCGACCTCCATTTTTTACTGCTGGTGCGAAGCCTTGTGGAGATTGTAGGCTGTCTGTTTCCCACTCCCAGGTCAGTCTCTTAGGCCTCACTAGGCCCACTCCTGCACAGATCTCCAGAGGCCTACACAGATCATGACAATTTGCAAAGAGGTTCTTCTGTAGGCTTGCCAAGTCCCCCGGGGGGCAGGGAAACCTCTGCCCCAGAGGCCCGTTTCCCACCGGCGGCAGATCGGGCCCCGGGGGGAACCCCACCCCCAAAGTACGTTGACATGCACGTCACCCGGAAGTGACGCAACCACGCCGGGCACGCTGGGGGCGGTGCCACGGTCATCCCAGGGAAAACTCTATGGTTTTCCCTCGGATGGTCATGGCCCCTCCCCCAGTGTGCCCAGCGTGATCATGTCACTTCCGGGTGATGGGGTTGCGGCGCGCGCACGCTTTGCGCACGGGCGCTCCAGGAGAGAGACAGGAGTCCCCCGCTCCAGCGAAAGGTAACACTTGGCAACCCTATTCTTCTGGTGAATAAATGAATAGAAGAAGAAGAGGAGATTGGATTTATACCCCGCTGTTCACTACCTGAAGGAGTCTCAGAGCGACTTACAATCTCCTTTCCCTTCCACTCCCCACAGGTAGGTGGGGCTGAGAGAGCTCTGAGAGAACAGTTCTGAGAGAACTATGGCTTGCCTTGCCCGAAGTCACCCAGCAGCTCCATGTGAAGGAGTGGGGACTCAAACCTGGTTCTCCCATATTAGAGTCTGCTCTTCTAACCACTATGCCAAACATGCCATATTCAACTGAGCTAAGGTTGTAATGCAGTGAAGTAAGACTGATCACCTTGGGAATGAAGTAGCCTTTAAAAGTGACATCCATAGTGGTTGCGTGTGGTATGTTTGTAGGGACAATGTTAGCAAACCTCTGAATTTCATGCATTACTGCATCCGTGTATGGCATTTTTGCACGGTGTTCTGTCCTTGGCTGAGCAGACCCAATCACCCGTGCAATTTCTTCTTGGACTTTGTCTGAGAAAATAAAACATTTCTTTTCACAAAAATAAATTTCACGATTTCAAGCCGAGTTCCTCAATAAGGGAAGAGTATGGGACATAAACCTTTTTATAAATGCATAACAGCTAGCTATATCTTCTTAATTACTGTTTTCACAAAGGTCATAAACAGCAAGCCATTTCACACTGAAACAGAAGCGTAAGATATGCTACCTGAGTTACAACATGATTTTACTACAGCTACTAAAAATTAAGCCACACACAACATTACTTGTCTTCATCTCTTAGTAAGCAAGAAATATTAAGCAAAGGAAAAATCAATTCACCTCTCAAATCTGGAAGTTCTGGGCCATCCAAAAGATACCTGAGGGACCGCCTTTCCCCACATGTTCCCCTGCGAGCACTACGGTCGGGGACGCAACATCTCCTGAAGATTCCAGGCCCCAAAGAGGCCAGGCTGGCTGCTACCAGGGCCAGAGCTTTTCCTGGTGGAACGAGCTCCCAGAGGAGATCCGGGCCCTGCGGGACCTGGTGCAGTTCCCTTCACGATTTCAAGTTGAGTTCCTCAATAAGGGAAGAGTGTGGGACATAAACCTTTTTTATAAATGCATAACAGCTAGATATATCTTCTTAATTACTGTTTTCACAAAGGTCATAAACAGCAAGCCATTTCCACACTGAAACAGAAGCGTAAGATATGCTACCTGAGTTACAACATGATTTTACTACAGCTACTAAAAATTAAGCCAGACACAACATTACTTGTCTTCATCTCTTAGTAAGCAAGAAATATTAAGCAAGGGAAAAATCAATTCACCTCTCAAATCTGGAAATTCTGGGCCATCCAAAAGATTATGATCTATAGAGTCAATTTGGTTAGTACCACATCCGCAGAAACTATTAGAGTATGGAATGCCATGAAACCTTCCAAACTACACCACTGATAGCAAGGCGTTCAAAGACACAAGCTTAAGTGCCCTTCTATACTTTGGAAGAGATAATTCAAACCAGGAGTTTGGCATTTTTATCAGGAAAATACCAATGGAAAAGGGTGAACATATTCTATGAGCTCTAACCAGCACTTATAATCAAGACCCTTTAAAGGTCTTTTAATTGGGTGACTCGATTCACAACAACTCAATTCACAACTACTCATAGTTTCTATCATATC